TGTTCTCCAAATATTTTGTGATATATTTACTTATTTTTTCTTTTCTCTTTTTTCTTACATATTCTTGACAGATCCAGGAGAAAAAAATTTTATTAACTTACACTGGGAAAAAAAGTATGCTCAAAACAACAAGAATATGGTAAAGTTGAAAATATTTTTGGCTGTATGGGAACACCAAAAGCCCCGATAATGTTTACCGCAGCACTTTGTTTATGATCTGGGTAAAATTAACCATAAAATATGGTTTTACAGCTTGTGATAATATTTGGTACGCATGGTAAAACTTTTTTTGAATTTTATCATAATACCTTAATGCATAAGACCATCTTTCGGTTAAAATTTCTTTTCAGTTTTGTATTTCTTACTAAATGCATGGTAGTGAGAACTATAATTAAAAAAAACGAATTTTCGGTAAATTGTAACCATATAGAAGGAAAAATAGCCAAATGAATGGTTTAGATAACGAATATTTTTGTTTTGCAAGCAAGAATTAAATTGTTTTTTAATGTCATTCAATTTTGTAATTTTACCAGAAATATGTATTCATGTAGAATTGCTTCTAATCAAGCAAAAAAAAATTTAAATTTTAGCCTTCTAACTCAATTAGCCTAGCCAAGATTTTTTGTCAGTATTAAAATGTTCATGTTTATAGTTGCATAGATCTTATGTATTGGTTTTGTTTTAGTTGCCTGTTGGAAATATTTGTACTGACAGTAAGAGATTGTCACAACATTTACAAACGCAAAAGGTTTTACGCACTAAGCCTTTAATAGTAATAAACTTGGCAGTTTTTTTTATTAAATTACTTACTTTTTTCCCGAATAATATTTTTCAAGTTTTTACAGTTAAAGTTGTAAAATTCTCCTTGTAAAGAGTTTTTCCAGACGCAGTGTGATTTTTCAGAATTTCTTGCTTGGTTTAAGAAATTTGTTGTTAATCAACATAACTTTTCTATTATATATACTTTTCTACTATATATATATATATATAAACTATTCAATTTACTATTACTATTTTTCACTACTTTCTAGATATTTTAAATCCCAATCTAATTAAACAAAAAATTCAATTTTATGTTGAATCTCATTTTTTATTATAAGCACTATTAGAATCATCGTTCAAATCAAGAAGATAGTATGCTCTTATTTCAAGGTTAGAGATTTTTAGGAGTCTAAAAATTAAAAAAAATTTCAATGATTTTATTGGTTTTTAGCAATTACTGATTCTGCTGAAATTCTAAAACTCTCTAACTATTCATGTTAAGAAGAAAGAACAAAACTCGAAAACAATTTTTAGACTTCATAATATGCTGATCATACTCATTAAATATGTATTTATTAATTAAGAAAACTTTCATAAAGCTCTGAGTAGAATTTTATATCATTAAACTTGAGTTAATGTTTCATTAAAATTTTAACGACTTAGTTTACGATGTTGCCAATAACCGTAAGAAAAATACTTTATCGAAACACTTTTAGTAAAAAAAACACACATTTAGGAAATCATGAACATACTATGAAAGATAAAAGGAAGCATATTAAAATTTCTTTAATTATAGCATACTGTATAAAAAATAAATTTAAAATTGTTATTTTATCTTAGGCAGTACTTTAGAATTTTTGTTTTTAATGAGAAATGCGAGATTAGGTTTCTCTATCATTAATTTTTACTCCAAATAAGTTTAAATTCGCGTGCATAAAATGAATTGTTAACACTATTCTTAAGAAACTGTGTGTGTGTTTTTTTATTGAACTTTTGTTACATTATTTACGAGTTTTACTTAAAATATTTGATTTCATTCAGCTTTTTGTGTCAAATAAGTTTCTATATTTACTGCAAAAGCTCTTAATATTAATATTTTGTCTAATGCTTAGTCTATTCTCTAATTTGAATTTTTATGAGTATTACAGAGCAAGAAAAATAAAAAGATAATTAATTGTTACTAAGTTATGTGATTTTGCAAGAAAGTCATTTTTTGGTTCTTTTTAAGTAAATTTCTTTATTTTTTTGTATTCATACCATATTTTAGTGAATAATATACGCATAAATATAATTGAAAAATTTCTCAATTAAAAGTTTCAAAATTTTGTATCATAAAGTATTCGAATACCTCAACTAAAATTTAAGAATAAGATAAAGCCCCATAACTATGAAAATCGGAGATAGAGATCTTTAACACACCATAAATGAATAACTAACTAAAAATATTACTAAAAAACAACTAATTATACTAATTATAATTAAAAAACAGCAAATTTCTTTTATTTTTATAAGGTCTATTTTTATTTACACGAAACTGTCGATTTCGAAATTAATTTGCTAGCTCCCAAAGGTAAGTTTATAAAATATAAAAATTTCAAAATAGGAATTTTTAATTAATTTTTGGGAAGTTATTCCTGATTACAATAAATGCTGGGTTTAATCCCTTTGAACTAAATAATTTTAAAAGATACAAAAATATTTATATTTTAAAATTGTTTTTGATTTCAACATATTAGTTTTGTAACTATTTTCCGCTTTGTAAAAAATTGGTATCTATATTTTTCAACATATTTTGAGATTTTTTTTTTATTTTAAGCGTGAAGCAATGTCGGCAACTGCTGATTTTTTTAATTAATCTTATTTTTTTTTCAAAGAATGACAATCATCTTTTATTTACGTACACAAACATAATTTTTCATTTATTGACACGATGCATCTTTATGTATCTCATGATATTATTATTCAGTTTCATTTATTTTTACCCGGTGATGACTTTTCATATAAAAGACAGTGATATCCTAATATATCTACTTAAAATTGTTCTTCATATTTTTTTTTAATAAATCTATATTTTACTTAAAAAATTATGATTCAGATATAGTTAACTATGTTTATTCTAATCGAATCAATTTCCTGTTTATAATTGAATCCGTGTATCAACAAATTTTAATTCCCACCAGAAAAAGCTTGAAGGCCCTGTTTTATAAGGAAATAAATCTTGATCTAACTTTTCATGCTGCTTCTTGTAGCACACATGTATCTTGCTATACGCCATAACGCCAAAAATAATACATTACAACAAATGTTTTTAGTTTTTATTTTATTTATTTATTATTTTTTTTGTATAGCTTTTCACGAGTAATATTCTTAAAACTACCTTAAAAGGGATGCTTTTAAAATTACACATAATAATAATTCATTCTTACGATCAACAAAACGACAGATGAAGGTGACAAAACAAAGCTCGAAGTCATTTCTTCCACTTAAGAAGAAGATTAATTACTTTTAGAGATTATGTAACTGTCAGTTTCACGTGTTCCTCGGAGAGTATTAAATAACATTCTTTGAGATTATTTTTTTTTTGTTTCTTGTAATTCCCAAAAACAAATATTTTATACGAAATACGTTTTTTTCTTCAGGATAAAAGCATATTTTAATAAAAAAAAGCGTCTTTATATTTGAAAAATATCTACCTTCAATCAAAATCTGTTTTATTGACACGACTTTCCAGCACTGCATTATTCATGCTACCTTCGGTGATATTGCTTCGACTATTCTGTATTTTGTATTGGACTCGCTTTTATGCGGCTCCCGATTGATCATTTAAAAATAGCTGATTAACCCAGAAGGACCCACGGGGTTCATCTAATGACCCCATGCATTCTATAAATTCTGATTCCAAAAAATTAGACACTTTTTTCTCCTTTTTTCTTAGCACCTAAGTTTTCTTATCTTATCTGCCTTCTGAGAATAGTTTGAAGGAATTTCTGTTCTTTTTTCTCATTTAATTCAAGTTTTATCGGTTACTGGGAACATAGAATGACCCGAGCATCTATCAGTTTGTTCTATAATTCATTTTATTTCTCGTGACTGACGAGTTTAATGAATTATTTTTTGATACCAAATAAAGAGATTTCTATCTGTTTGTAAAGTGTATTAAAGTTACGTCTTATGGGACAAGAACTTCCTCGCCATTTAACAAAAATCCTCTGTGTATAAAAACTGAGGACTTCGCCTTACCGTGTATGCAAATCAAGAACCTTGTTATGTCACAATACGCATTTGAATTATGAACTAAAAGTTCAAATATTGAGCATTTTTCATCTGGAATTACCAAAATAGAAACTAAAAATTTCCTGAAATCGAAGTTTCGGGTTGAGAAATCGGGAACTAGAGGAAATAATGGTTTATGTCCAATTTCTTTTTACAAGAATCATAAAACTTCTGTTGCTAACAATTATCTCCGCGAACATTCGTAATAGCATTAAAACAATCATATCGAGAATAATATAATAATTTATAAACTAATTATCATGGAAATAAATATTATTGCATTTCATAAAATTTTAGCCTAAAAAAGAATGATAAAAAGCTTTAAGTAGTTAAGCAATAAATATTCAATATCCCACGCTCAAAAGAGTTATATATTAAATAGTATATTAGTGAGTTTCATTTGCGTCTTAACGTTCGTTCAGGAGGTGCACGTTCTCCGGGGTGATATGAAATGCAGTTATTTGTCAAGAAATTGTAAGAAAGTATTGTAAGAAAGAAAAAGGAAAATATTAAAAAAAAGAACTTTCAAATCTCAAGTAGGTGAATATCATGCACAAACTTTCAAAATCAAAAATACTTTTTTTGGGAGGCATCAGATTTTTTTTCGTAACTTCATTTAAAAGTTCATAACAGCCATTTGCATTGTTTGTATTTTCCCTCTAACCATCAAGTAGGCCACGTTAGCAAACGTCTTGATACTATTATCCTTCAATATTTATAAACTAGAATTTATAGCAACTGAAATGTACAAAAAGTTGTAGACAAATAAAAGTCTCATTGATGATTTTAAGAACCCTAGAGAACATTATTATTTTTTATACCAAATATTATAATTTTTTTAACTGTTATATTGTTAATATAAGATCATTAAGAAGTTAAAAATCTCAGTATTCGTAAAAAAAACTGAATTTATTGTCACGAATCATTGAATAAATCATAAAAATAAAATAAATCAGCAAAAAATATATCATCAACGCAAATTATTAATTAAAGCAATCAGAGCAATTGGAATTGAATATCCTCCTTCCTTTAATTAAATAGAGAAGTTTTTCTGTGGAATGATGGAAAATTGATGATGTAAACTAGTATTCACAGCTCATCCGTAGCACTTGCAGGTTCTTTTCAAGAAATTGGTGCAATAACCTCCACGATATCTCACACTTTTGCAGTGATTATGGCATCTCATTTGATCAAAAGGACAACCAAATCCTGCATCAACTGTAACTGCAGCTGAAATAAAGAACAAAAATTTCTAAGATTGCAGAATTAACAATAGTATATGAAAATACCGCTTTGAGAAAAATCATTCTTCCAAATGCCTTTATAAGGGCTGTTTTTCGGGGACATTTTTTTCGGGGACAAAATAATTAAATAATAATTATCATTAAATAGGTCATAGCAAAAAAAAATTACATTGGGTGTTTTTCCAAAAATTAAAGTTATCGTTTAAATGTTTTTAATTTACTACTGAATTCAAAACTTTTGTGCATTATATTCAAGGTGTATAAGTACAATATTCAAGTGTTCTATAATTCATATTTTCAGAATTCTCATTAAAAAGTAAAATCTACACTACGTGAGTTACAGGAGTATATTGAAACAGAAAAAGGCTCTATCAAAATCTGGCATACCACAGTGCAGAAAGGTGGATGTAATAAACATGAAAAAAGGTTTAATTGAAGGTGTAAAAATGATGTTTCGAAGAATCACCTTTCACTTCATATCTGTTGTCTTCCCATTATCATACCTTTCTTTTTAATTACATTCACTATCCTGGACGGCAAATGTGTATGCTCTTATGTTTTCATTATTTAATAAGAATTCAAAAAATATATATTAAAGGCAGACTGTAAAGGACATCCTACATATATTGCAACCTGTGTAACTGAATTGAAGAAAATAATATTGAATTTAACGAAAATAAAAGATAGTGCTAATTTTAAAGATTCTTATTTTCCCTTTAGTGTTTTTTTGAAATTTTCCATGTGTTTTGTTAGTGAATTCTTTTTACATTTTTTTTTTTTTACTTGCTAGTAGAAGAAAAGTAAACAAGATTACTTTTGTTGAGTGCAATGATTTCACCTTCTGTGCTACTCTCGAATAATGTTCCCCAATTCGATCATCTGTTACTGTTAGATTTAAAAATAGTACCAATGCATTTAAAAATAGTACCAACGCATGAAAAAAAAAATTTTTTTTTCGTTTTTCATTTTTTTTTAAATTTATGTTTTATTATCCCTGTAAAAGTTGATTGCAATAAATTCGTTTAAATATTTTAATCTGGGAATATTTCAATATCATTTATCCCCTTAAATAATTTGCAGCATATGTACTAACTTTAAGAACTAAAATTTGTTAAAAGTCAATTTTCTTTTGAAATATAACTCAACTTTAACTCGTATTTCAACAACGAAATTCCTAACATAAATCACATTTTTGATACCGAAGAAGAATTAGTTCTAATAAGCTCTAGTTTTTTTTACCCTTTGATAAATAAAAAAATACTACAAAGCTGGAGACAATACTACTACATAATAAAGTTTAGAAAAAAATACTAAAAATTAAATTAATTTAAATAAGCTTTTAATTTAAATCAGATTTAGTTCAGTTTTGGGGATTCTGACATCAAAATCTCGAATACATTAGGAATGAACATTGTACCTTTTTTTAATAGCAATCTGCATAATTTTTGCAAAATTACGATTTTACTTCATAAAGAACAAACAACTATTAAGATATGAATTTCTTTTTTCCTTTTAAAACTCAGGCTAGCATTAACCACATTTCGATAGAACTGTTTCACATATTTTTTTAAAAAATCATTTGGAATGTCTATTTTGTTCTAATAAATTATTTAACATAATAAAACTTAAAAATAATTGTAAAATATATGATTTTAAAAACAAAACCTTACATTACAACTTTTTATATAAATAGAAGAAAAACTACAGTGCCAATGTGTATCAAAAACAATCGCAAAAACAGTTTAAAATGAATTAAAGAAAAAACTTTTTAATTTGAAAAATAGCTACCATGTACGTAAACATGTTTCAATTGTTTTTTTGTTTTCTTTGACGCATGAAATTCCAAATTAATCAAGTTTTAGAATTCAGTAATTTTATTTAAAAACTCTTAGACGCATGTTTTGTTTTTTACTAATTTAAGAATATGAATATGCCTATATTTATTAAAAAAAACGTTAATTTTTAAAATAGGGAAAAAATAACGCATTGATTAAATTATTATTTTTAAATGTATTTTCTTTATATTAAATCAATTCATTAATTTTATCTATGTAAAAAAATAGGGTATCTAAACCTTTTATGAAGTCTACTAACTGCAAAAATATATCATGATACTTTATGCACACAAAATCACCCTCTCAGCAACAAAGTGATAAAATATAATACTGTAGAAAAAATAAGAAAATTTAAGAAGAAGTAGTAAAAAAATTTCGTACAATCTTTGTCATAACCTGTCCACCGTAAAGATAAACCCGTCCACTTTACGCATGCTGTATTTTAAAAATTATAATTATAAATCATCGTTTTTTTAGAGAGATAAATTTTAACTATGAATTAATAATGAAATTTGTCTTGTTTACTCCCTTCACAGAAATAAACTCCTGTTCTGTTTACAGACTTTCTCTGTATATTTGAGGGCTTAAAGCTGATTTGTTGATAAAATGGTTTGTTTCCTATTTTTCATCCTATTCATAAATGGATTAAAACCTTCTATTGAAACTCTGTTTGTTTACCGCACGATAACTCTTAACTTTTTTTAAATGTTTTTTACGATTATTTTCTTTACTTTCTCTTATTTTTCAGCTATTATAATGGTTCAGAATATTGTAAGACTGATATTAATATTCGACTTAAATTCAAATTTGTACTTTTGGTAAGCCCGGCATTTTTATACAGGTAGACCAGCATAGTTTTAAACCTTCTGACACTTCAATATTATTTCAATAAATAAGACTTTTAAGATAAAAAATAAATTAAGATTATTGCTCGCACTAAAATTCTAGAGCTGCGGTAGCTCAAGAGACAGAGCGCTAGTCGGGATAACTTTTTATTAAAAGAATTTAAATCTTTTAAATGCAGACACAACAATTAAATTAATCAGTATTTATTATTATTTTTCAAAAGCTGGTTTATATTCACAAATTGTTAATTAAATATAAAAATGTAAAGATAGCAGAATTAAATGTTTAAATATAATGACTATTAAGCTTCTAACCTAACAATTAGAGAAGATTAAAATTTTAATAAGCTTAAAATTTTAAAATAAACAAATATTTTTAGCATATTGAAAATTATAAATATCAACTTAAATCAAAATTCTAGTAACTCTAATAAATTAACAAAATACAACATCAAAAGTATTTAAAATAAAGAAAAAAAATATTTTCTCACCAAATGCGCTTATCAAAACTGCCACCAACAAAAATAAGTATTTTGCCTGCATCGTTCTGAAAAAAAATCATTAAATTGTTAAATTCGCAAGTAATTAAAAAAAATAAGATACTCTGCTTTTTGTACGGCAATAAACATGAATCTGCATACGTGTGAGCTAATTGAAATATGTACAAGACCTATATGTTACCTATAGATTTTTACTTGAAAAAAAATAGTTTCATAAACTTTTATACCATTAAGAAGTGAAATGGATATTCTTTATTTTAATTTAAAACTTAAAAATGGGATGTTTGAATTAATTTTAATGCTTACAAGAATTTTAATTATTTATCTTAAATTAAAAACTCACACTCGATAGTCTAACATCTTATAAAGTGTAAACAGATATATTGACTTCTTATACATTACCAGTTAAGCAAATTTCATATGTGCATGCGTAGTTTCAAGCAAAATTTAGTTTAAAATAAATTAAAAACCATTACCTTCTCCTTTACACTTAATCTATTTTACAATTTATTAACCAAATTTTTATTCCAGTTTAAAGTTACAAGATGGTTTTCATAATAATTATTTAAAGAAATAATTTGCATGTTGAGGTTCGAGTGCAGATTTAATGGACACAAAAAAATTTTTTTCGAAAATATATCACAAAGTATAATTAAGCAATAATACAAATAATATTCATTTAATATTCAATTACTACTAAAAACACAGATCTCCTATTTACCTATTCACTTTACCTATTAATTACCTATTACCAGCCAATTACCGACATACCAAATGTAGTTACAATTTATTTACCAAAAGTTTCATGCAAGTTTAAAGTTACAAATTGGTTTTCATGACTATTATGCAAATCAATAATTTACATGTTGAGGTTCGAGTATAGATTTAATGGAAACAAAATAAAGTTTTTGTTAAAAATATATCACAATGTATAATTAAGTAATAATACAAATGATATTATTTTAATACTCAACTATTACTTAAAACATGATTCAGCTACTTACCGAATCACTTTGTCAATGATACAGATAGAAGAAATTCTTGTTCTGTGTTCCTTTTCTGCACGCATATATATATACATGCTGCATTTTTGCACTGTATTTACTTAGAGAAAGGAAATTCCCCACAATTTGCGTGAAAAAAGTGAAATTTATGCACACACTTTAAGTGTGTAACAATAAACATTTTTCCAAGAAAAAGAAGTATGTTTTGGAAAAAGCTGTTGCATTTGGGGAAAATCACTTTCACTTCCGATTTAAGCTTTGCGTTTACAAAAGCGGGAAGTCCGTGCTTGTAAAATATTTGCAAACAGTCGTTTTATTTTTATTTGTTATGCTATGTTTTATTATTATTTCTTTTTGCAATTCTTATCTATTTCTTTTTATTCTGGTTTTTCCCATCGAATCATAGGGAAAAAAATAATATTCTAGGTAAATCAAAATAAATTTAAACAAAAATTATTAATAAAACATACTTAATTAAAAATTTAGTATACTCATTATTGAAAGTTTTCACTTATTTAGTTAAAAACTTAAAGGAGTCCACTTCAAGGAGCTGAATCTCTATACCCATGTTACAAAAATATTTATTTTGAACGCAGAAATTCTGTCGATTGACATTTAAGTCAAGCTTACAAAATTTCTCTGGCAATAAGTATACACTTTTCGTGAATGTAACGGAATCTTTTTTTTAAATTTTGAACAAATTATTTTTAAAAAAAATATTGTTTGTTATCAAACGAAGATTTCTAAAACAAATCACCCAAAAATTTCACAATTCTATTTGTAAATTTCAGAATAAATAAATGGTTAAAAACTCCAGTTTAATTAATCAAATTTATTTTAGGAATATGTATACCACAGTTCTAGTTTACTGGAAAGGTTGTTCAACAGATAAATATTTCTTTTGTGTGGGAATGTTTAGTTTTAAGAAAAAAATCGCTAAAGCATACCACAAAAAAGTGGCTCATTTTCCAATTGTAGTTTTAAAGGAAAAGCGGTCAAATATTTTTATCTTTATAATGAAGTAAAAATTGAAGTATGTCGTGTTTATTCGGAAAACGGGAAGTGAATACTAACCGAATTAGTAAAAAAAAAACTCTCACTTAAATCCATATAATTTTTTTATTTAGCAATTAAAAAAGCTAAGCTTTCCAGTTTATTAAAAAGCACTAAAAATTTATATTCATACCACAATACTTATTATGCGACCGGTCGGTCTCATGTCCCGCAGTAGATTGATCGTAAAGACAAGGTTCCCAGTAGAACACCGAAGTCAAGCATCACTGGCTGAGGTCAGTAAGTAGGTGGGTGACCACTTTGATCACCTTGCGTGGGGACCGAGGGTGCGCGGAATCCACTCGTTCCTCGGCCCTCGTTAAACTGTTCAACCGTAAAGTGCTCGACTTCGCGCGCAGGTCGTCGGGCTACCAAAGCAAAGGAGCCATCCTTTTTGCAGAGGATCAAAAATGAGATGGCATGTCTTTAGATCATCCTCAGAAATGTTTCCCATACCATCGCCAATAGCCCATTGTGCAGCTCCAGTGCGATGCAAATAAAGTGCCTAACCTGCCATCGGTTTTTATGCAGGCTTTAGTATAACCCCTCTCCTCACACCTTTATTTGTTTATAAAATAATCTGAAGGGCTTTCTGCTTTTTAGAGAACTACGCTTTCTCCAAAGGTGAATTTTTTTATATTTAAAAAAAAAACATTATGATTCAGATTTTGGAATTCCTTTGAACAGTAAAATACACAAAAACACATATTATTTCCTAATTTAAAAAAACGTTTTTTTTATCAGTGTCCCTTTTTAATTAATTCCCCCAAAGCGTTTATATGTATTGATATTTCATTGTTTTTAAATGTGTCTTATACTGTAGAAATTTGGGGACGGATAAGAGATATTTTCGTTTTGTTTTTTATCAAATTTAAATAAAAAAAACTTTTAGTGAAGAAATTTATAAACAAAAGTTTTGTGGGAAGTCGAAAACAAGCAAAATTATAAAACCTTAATTTAGTCACATTTTGTTATTTGTATTAGCGTTACTGTCGTATTTAGTATAATTAACGAATTTTTAATGACATAATTTTAATTATTTTATACTAGAATATAATATATCATTCTTATTCAGAAAATGTTGAAAAAAATAAAATTTATTCTTTTACTTTTCTTGTAATTAATTTATATTTTATTTTTTATATCGTGCTTAAAGTAATTTAATTTAGTTTCAAGTATATGCAAAGGTATGATTAATATATGAGGAAAAATGACTATAAATGCCATTATTATTTATTAAGTTACTTTAAGTTTCACTGCAAAAAAAACCTTTTTCACCAACTCACTTTGGAAATTATAACTGTTTTTCACTAATGATTTATTTTATTTATTTAAAATGCTCTTAAATTTACACAACTAATTCCTGAATTATACTAGCATTAAGCGAACATTTAGTGATTTCTTTCCGTTCTAAAATATAACCAAAAAAACTCAATGCTCTAATTGAGTTTCAAAAATTTTTTTTTTACATTTTCTCAACCAAAATGAATATTTTTCTACTATCGTAATGGAAGTATACGTTCTTTTAAAACTGTTCGATAAAATTCAACGACACCCTTTTCAGCTGCGAAGCATATTAATAATTTTCACAGGTCATGTAACTGTCATTGACACTTGCGCCCAATGAACTGATGATACATATTATCATTTGCCGAAGAATGAAATTTTACTGCTGTTATTAGCATATTTAAATAATACCACTACATCAACTCTCTTCTTTTGTTACTATTATTAAAAAAGGTTTAAATTTAGCTGCCAAATAACAAGGCCATTAATTTAAAATATTACGAATTTATTTTCAAAAAAATGCAGCATTTTGGAACCTATATTTACTCAGTAAAAATCTGTAGTATGTAATCTCCAGTTTATTTTATTGTATTGTTGGCCGTACATTATTTGTTGTTGTGGCTGCCGTATATATAATAATGTTGTATTGTATTATTTAAACAGCCTATTTATAAAGTGTGCCCATTTATGAAGTTTTTAAAAATTCTAATTCAAACTTTCCATGGAATTTTAAACCTAATTCGTACAACTACACTCAGAAAAAAAGTATAGTACCGTTCATTACACGGCCGCACATTACAGCCGTACATTATTTGTTGTTGTATTGTTTGTTGTTGTTGCCGTTTATATAATATTGTTGTATAGTATTATTTAAACAACCTATTTACGAAGTGCGCCTATTTATGAAGTTTTTAAAGTTCAAATCCAAACTTTCAAACCAAAGTACATTGCGTTTACACTACTTATTAGCTAAATATTTAAAATATTTTTTTTTAATAATTAAAAATCACACACTTGTAAGGTTTTTCTTTGAAATTGTCAAAGGTTTTTCTTTGAAATTGTTGTTGTTTTTTAGGTAAATTGAAACCATTAATAAAGAAAATGGAAATAATGTAACGTTAGTTAAGTACTTTAAATTTTAGAAAAGTTACTTTTTTATACTAGAATTCTTTCTCAATTTTAAACTAATGATTTCGTTGAAACAGATTTTTTTATCTACATTTTGATCTACTAGAAAGTCCACTATTATCTACTAGAAACATTTAATCTACATCTACTGGAAAGAGAACATTTATTTTGAAAATATTTTAGAGCTGAAATATTCCTGAAGGAAGGAATGAGGGTACTTAATGAAACTCCAGGTAATCCATAATATCTGATTCCTAAAATATCTAAACACCAATTCTCCATTTATTAGTCGAACCTGAGTTTTTCATCCAGATCTGCTTTTTGTGATTAAAAAGTAGGAATTTCCGGCATTTTCCTTCTCATAGTTAACTATTTTTTGCACCCGAATAAAGAGACTTCTACTTATTTACTGTGTTCATTAAAGTTAAGATGCAATAATTGCAAGAACCGTTTTGCTATCTAACGAAAATGAACTAACTGCGCATAAAAACCTGCGACGTTATCCAATTGTGAATTAAAATCAAAGACCATGCTAATTTAGTTATTGGTGATTAACGCCGGCAAACGTGCAATAAATCGCCGTTTGAATCATGAACTACAAGTTAGAATATAGTTAGAATCACCAAAAATAGGAGCTAAAAACTTCCTCAAGAGAAAGTTTTGCTCAAAAAATCAAAAACTATTGGAACTAACGGTCTGCGATTGTGACGACTTTTCCCAAGAACATAAAATTTCTTTGTGTAACAATATGTTTACGGTAAACTTTAATAATGGAGACATTCGTGTTGATTAATCTATTATTAATTTTTTCTTTATTTTGAAACTATTATTTATTAAAATATAAAGCATCTGCTTTATTTTTAATATTATGTATATATATATATATATATATATATATNTATAAAACACTAAAAATATTGAAATTTATTTCCTAACTAAATTATAATATTCAGCTACGGGATACTGAATATCTATAATAAACCTGGATATCTTCTGTGTGTAAATATGTATTTATGATGAGATGGATTAATTCTCATGTTTGATGAATGACCAGTGGTATCAAATAGTTTGTAGTTATAGTTATAATATATTACTTGTTGCAATAGTGATCACGCAACTTGTAAATCTGGGGAAATATAAATTCTTAGTGGAAAAAATGATTTTGGACAATTTTCATTAAATTAAAGATTTTTCACTTATTATATGACATCTTTATTTAATTACTAGAGTCATATTTCTGCCTATCTTTTTTCAAAATGCTTAGAATCTAAGGAGTGTAGCTTATATTTTCCTTCTTGTCTAGTTTGTACACTGAAAGAAAAGTTTAGTCAAAATGCTCCACCAAAAAGCTCGGTAATTTTTACCAACACGCTTTGGTATAGACCTTGATGAAATTAACCATTTAATATAGTTTTATATCATGTGAAAAAGTTTGTTAATTGTGGTAAAAATTTGATAATATTTTTATGATGAGCATGGTATAAAAACCATTTATACAGTTATTTCAATTATTATTATTTATTTTTTTTACTAACTGTGTGGTAATAAGAACTGTAATTTTGAAAACCAGAATTTGTAAACCAACTAAATGGTTTAAATAACATAGCTTTTGACTTTATGATAAGGACTGATGTTTTTTTTTTTTTTTTTTTTTTTTTTTTTTTTTTTTTTTTTT